GGGGAACGGCATGGGGGGGCGGCATGGGGGGACAGAATGGGGGGACGGCATGGGGGGACGGCATGGGGGGACGGCATGGGGGAACGGCATGGGGGGAAGGCATGGGGGGACGGCATGGGGGGACGGCATGGGGGGACGGCATGGGGGACGGCATGGGGGGACGGCATGGGGGGACGGCATGGGGGGACGGCACGGGGAAACGGCATGGGGGAACGGCATGGGGGGACGGCATGGGGGGACGGCATGGGGGGGCGGCATGGGGGGACGGCATGGGGGAACGGCATGGGGGGACGGCATGGGGGGACGGCATGGGGGGACGGTATGGGGGGGCGGCATGGGGGGACGGCATGGGGGGGACGGCATGGGGGGGCGGCATGGGGGGACGGCATGGGGGGACGGCATGGGGGGACGGAATTGTCGGGACGGCATTAGGGGGACAGCATGGGGAGGATGGTGACGGTGGGTGGAAGCACAGGGGAGCAGCGCACCAGGGAGAGCAGTGCCCGTGGCAGGTCGGAGGGGCGGTAACCGCTCCCACTGCTCCCATCGCTGTTGACCTTTGAGTGATTAGCAGCGCACTCCAAGAGGGCCACGGCTCGCTGCCGGTCCGCTATGGCTTCTGGGAAACAGAGGGAGCACAGGGGAACAGAGGGAGCACAGGGGAACAGCTTACCAGGGAGAGCAGTGCACGTGGCAGGTCGGAGGGGCGGTAGCTGGCCCCACTGCTTCCACTGCTCCCAGAATGGCGGTCCTTGCCCTCACTGCTCCCATTGCTGTTGACGTTTGAGTGATTAGCAGAGCGCTCCAAGAGAGCCACGGCTCGCTGCCGATCCGCTATGGCCTCTGGGAAGCGATGAATGCTGTACCACGCCTTGCCTGGGAGAGGGGCGGGGCAGAAGAAAGGGGGGGGGGTGGGGGGGTGGTGCGACAATAATGAGGGTTGGTTAACTTGCGAGTCGAATCACAACCCAAGAGAACTATGGCTCGCTGAATGGGCCGATCACACTTGCGCGGTGAAGCGCGGTGAATGCTGTACCACGCGCTGCCTGGGGCTGGGAGAGGGGTGGCGGGACAATAACGAGGGGGGTTGGTCAACTACTGAGTCGTTAAGAAGGCAACGCCCTGGGGAAACAGTGTGATAATAACAAAAAGGGTTGCTCAACATCTGAGTCGGCTCATAACCCGGGATGGGCACGGCACGGCTCGCTGCTATGGCCTCTGGGAAGCGGTGGATTCTCAACTACGCCCTCTGGGGAGTGGTGTGACAATAACGAGGGTTGGGATGGGAGCGATTCACAGCTATGGTGAGGTGATGGATGCAACAGCTCACTGCATGATAGAAACACCGAGAGGCTTTGAGCATCAGCGAAGGAAAAAAGAGCCTCAAAGAGCCTCACCTCGCTCCAGCAGCAGGTGAGCATTCCCTGGGTCTCCCTCCAGGTGAATTGTCAGGTTGGCAATCTCCTGAACAGGTGAGTTCAGGTGAAACAAGCAGAGCACACAAACAGTAAGAGGCCTGGCGGGGCGATGAAGGGCAAGAAGAAGGGCAGCGCGGGGAGAGGCGTGGGCTGATGTGATGTGATGTGATGTGATGTGATGTGATGTGATGTGATGTGATGTGATGTGATGTGTGCATGCATCCAGCGTCGCGCTCACCCTCTCTCTCACCTGCAACACTCTCCGATGCATCGCCTCGCCACTCCTGTGCTGCCTTTCTTATCTCTTCAAGAGGTGGTGGAGGGGCGATGAAGGGTGAAAAGAAAGGCAGCGTTGGGTTGGGAGAGCAGCGGCGTGCAGTGCAGGCAGAGCACCAAGGCGGATGGATGGGCGCTCCAGAGGGCGAGAGGGAGGGATTGGGGGACAGAGAGAGGGGCATTCGAGAGGGGCTGTCCCACTCACCTGCATCACCCTCTGGTGCATCGCCACTTCTGCATTTTCCAGAGGCGGCGGCGGGGCAATGAAGGGCGAGAAGAAAGGCAGCGCGGGGAGAGCAGCAGTGGGCAGGCAGAGAGCCAAGGCGGAAGGGAGCTCCAGAGGGCGAGGGGGGGGTGCTGGGGAGAGGCGGCTGGAGGGGCAGCGGATCCGATGGGGAAGAGGTGCACGCCTGGGGTGGGGAGAGGGAGAGAGTGGGAGATTGGGAGAGTGGGAGATTGGGAGATTGGGAGTGAAAGGAAGGGTGATGGTGGTGATGTTGTAAGTAAGGCGAGGTGACTCTTGAGTCGACTCAAAAGTCATGTAAGTAAGGCGAGGTGACTCTTGAGTCGACTCAAAAGTCATGTAAGTAAGGCGAGGGCGTCGTTCTTATACGGCAGGAGGGGCGGCGGAATTGATGGAGAAAAGGCGCGTGCCTGGGGTGGGGAGCGGAGCAGGAGACGGAGAGAAAGGAAGAAAGAAGTGATTGTGCTGAAAGGAAACGAAGGGGCACTAGAATAATGGAGAGTTCTGTACAGACACCGCTGACGTGGCAACACCGCTGACGTGGCAACACCGCTGACTCACCATGCCGCAGGAGGAAAAGCTCAGGACACGTGGCATCACTGCGTGTGTCCACATCAGCAGGATTTTCTCCCTGCACCACCGTCGCCTCTCCTCCTCCCGCCCTCCTCCTCTCATCTCCACCTTCGGCTCCAACACCTTTTCCCCCCCCCTCCACCCCCTCCACCCCCTCCACCCCAACCCGTACCCTCTCCATACCCCCTTACGGATTCTTCAGCTGCAACGGGTCTTCCTTCATCCCTACCCTCGCCATCCCTCTGTCCAACTGCAACCCCTCTTTTCTCCCCTCCACCCTCTCCATCCCCCCTTGCGCCTGCCTCCCCTCCTCCATCATCAGCCACGTCAGCAGAAATCTTATCCTCTTCAGCCTTACGCCCACCGTCTCCATCCAACCCACCCTCCTTGTCCTCGTTATTGAGTAGCACGAGGGGATCAGGAATCTTGTAGCAGAAATCGTCATTGCTGGTAACGGACCAGGGAGCAAAGAAGAGAAGAGTAACGGGTACTTTAACGAATGTGGGCTAAATCAGAATCTGAAGAACCAGCAATGATCACCAAATGTGGGCCTACAGGTATCCTTTTCACGGCTTATGAAAATATATCCGCTAATAATGAGACGCTCCTATCGGGGATATAAACAAACGAACCAGAGAATGCTCGTGCCATCGAGGCCGTCCTTCACTTGAGTCACGACCACGGCCATGATTCGCAACCACTCGTTAGAGTCACACCCTCGCTGGACAACCAGAGGCCCGCTCAACAGGTCACCATTGCGGTTAGCAACATTGAATGGGACTGTGCTGGACGAAAAAAACTCAGCTTGCGGGGATTCTAGAATGGTGCAGCTTAGTAGCGAGAGTGCAATGCACACGAATACTGCCGCCATGGCCATCTGGCCTAACAGGCGTGCCACGCGATGCGCGGCAGTTAAAAAAAATACCACTAATGTTTCTATGAAGTAAGAGTAACATCCGTTGTAGTCTAGTCGGTTAGGATATTCGGCTCTCACCCGAAAGACCCGGGTTCAAGTCCCGGCAACGGAATTTTCTTTTTCACGCTTGCCGTTTTCTTTTGCTGCAGGGTTGAAGTGAAATCCAAGGGAAGTGGAAGATGAAACGGCGCCACACCAAGCAAAGTTCCCATTTGCGCCTAGTCGTAATTCTCCATTTCCTTCCATTTGTTTTACGCGACATTGGAACATCATAGGTTCGGCACAGCTCTTCGTGAATCGGGATAGAGTCTGCACGCTACTCGTCTTAGGGCACGAGTCGTACTGTAGCTTAACCGCCTAGCTTCACCGTCAATAGTCATACCCTAGCCCATCCTCCTCTCATCTCTTTAGAAGAGGCTGTTCTGCTCGCTCCCTTCTCCTCGTCCTCCTTCGGACAAAACGTCGTAGCCGTCGCGTTTCATCCGAGCCTCTTTTTGCTGCCTATCCCCCCGAATAATTGTGCTTCGTCAGTTCAGACGCATCAGTTACTATACTAGTCGCCTTGAGACCACCTTGAATCCAGGCCTCGTCTTCCCAGGCCCGGATCGGTCAGCCAGTATGGGACTGCGGAGACGGCTTGGGTACCTGCTTGAAAAGAGCCTGGCGTACCACCGCGTGGTTTATATGGTGAGTGCTGCGTGGCATGCACGCACTCTCTTTTGCCTTGAATCAAAGGATGACTTCCGAGTTGAACCTTGAGCGACTCAGAATGTGCCTTGTTGAACAGAGCCTGGCGTACCACCGCGTGGTTTATATGGTGAGTGCTGCCACGTGTCATGGGTGGATGCAGTTGTGTGTGCCGTTGTAACGAGCTGACTTGTTGAGTCGACTCAAAAGCCACCTCTGCTGGGGTACCTGCTTGAAAAGGGCTCGGTGCACCACCGAGTGGTCTACATGGTGAGTGCTGCATGGCATGCATGGGTGCTGCATGGCATGCACGTGGTGGGTGCTGCATGGCATGCACGTGGTGGGTGCTGCATGGCATGCACGTGGTGGGTGCTGCATGGCATGCACGTGGTGGGTGCTGCATGGCATGCACGTGGTGGGTGCTGCATGGCATGCACGTGGTGGGTGCTGCATGGCATGCACGTGGTGGGTGCTGCATGGCATGCACGTGGTGGGTGCTGCATGGCATGCACGTGGTGGGTGCTGCATGGCATGCACGTGGTGGGTGCTGCATGACGTGGTGGGTGCTGCATGGCATGCGCGCAGTTTTGCAAACGTTCACACGCACTTACAATCCGCGGGAATTCACAACCACATAAAGCAACGACAATTCGTATCTTTCAATTCGCTCCTCTCCATTCCTCCATGCACCCCTCCCTCCCTCCCTCCCTCCCTTCCTCCCTCCCTCCCTCTCCCTCCCTCGCCGCTCACGCACTTTCAGAACCACGTAAAGCACACAGGAACACGGCCTTCTTTCTTCGAGCTCACCAAAGCGGTTCTTAAGGTCCTAATGAGCCGGGAACACTACTTAAGCTCGCTCCGGCCGACTGCCACTGGAGACGAATCCATGAAGCCGATACTAAAGGGGACGGAGGGCGAGTGGGTGCTGAGCCGATACCTGCTACCTCCTGGTTTGCAGTGAGTGGGGTCACAAAGGTTGTAATGAGTATTGGCACAGAGGGTGAGTGTGGGCACAGAGGGTGAGTATGTGCTACCAGAGGTGATTCTTTGAGATGCTAGTGCTGTCGCATATGAGAATCGTTTCCAGCAAGTGCACTCGAGGCCTGCTTTGATTGTATGGTTCCGTAAACATTACACTGAAGGCGTGCTTTGCAAGTGAAACCCTTTTGTTCCACATGTAACCCCCGTTTGATGCGAAATAATTTCTTCTTTTTGTGGAACTAGTCATCACAAAATAGTTCCGCAAAACCATGTAACTTGGCATCACAAAACCCATTTTGTCCTATTCACTTACCAGGTGAATTACACCTCTTTTCTTGTATTTGTTGCAAGGAACCTTGCGGCCCGGACAGTGTTGCAACCCTGTCCATTTGATTCCTGTTTTTCTAAGTGCCTCAGAACTTCTTTGCGTGCAGATTACTGTATAATCGCTTTTCTTGGAAAATCAGAGTGGTTTGCTCACAGATCACGGCGCCTTCGCCGCAGCTATGGGCAATCTACGTTTCTACCTGGGCTGCAGTAACTGCTGCTCCGTTTCTCTCCCTCCCCACTTCCCTCAATCAATACCTGCTCACAACCATCTCTCTCGTGTCTGCCTCTGCCTCTGCCTCTGCCTCTGCCTCTGCCTCTGCCTCTGCCTCTGCCTCTGCCTCTGCCTCTGCCTCTGCCTCTGCCTCTGCCTCTGCCTCTGCCTCTGCCTCTGCCTCTGCCTCTGCCTCTGCCTCGGCCTGTGCAGCGAAATCTTTGTTGGGGACGTTGGCGTCTCATAAATACTGCTCCCCCTGCTCTTCCTCCCCAGTTTCTTAATCAATGCCTGATCCCAGCCATCTCTCTCGTGTCTTCCTCTGCCTTTGCCTCGGCCTGTGCAGCGAAATCTCTGTTGGAGACGTTGTTGTGATGAGATACGATCCTGCTAAAGCTGCTTCTTACGCCAAGTCAGCCAATCCCGAAGTGTCAGCTGAGGCAACGGCCAATGACGGGACAGCGACGGCCAAGGCTGGAACAGCAACAGGGGTAACATCAACAAAAGGGAAAAAAGCAGGGGACGTTCCCCAGTTAGTAGTAACCGCCGCTTCTTTCAAGAGCAACAATCCAAAAAAGCTCATGAAAAGGAAGAAAATGGCCCAGTCAGAAGCTGCCACCAGTACAGCCAGTCGCAAAACCGATGCCGACACCAGCGCAGCTGATGCCTCTTCTCCCTCATCCTCTTCCTCCTCAGCTTCCCAGGCCGACACACCACAGAACCCTCTTAAGGCTGCTTTTCGGCGAGTGGCAGCCGTTGCTGGAGACGAGATCGTGTCATCTCGGCCGTCGGATGAGCCGTTTCGGATAGAGAAAGACCATTTTTGGTTGCTCGCTGATAACTTGGCTGTTCCTGCAAAGGTATGTTCATACGTGCAATGGCAATGAGTGAAGAAGCTTGCACTAGGCCTATAGTGAGACACGTAGTGAGGAATGCAGTGAGGCATTCAAGCAGCCATACTAACACCGTCCTCCCCTCTCAGACTGTTTTAGCACTCCACGTGTTCTTGCCTGTTCCACGTTTTGACTTCCCCTGATGATCTAGAAAACTCCCAAGTTTATATTACTCCTTAGCATTCTTCCTCCTCTTCCACTTATGGCACTTTTCAGGAAGCTATCGACAGCCGCACCATTGGGCCGGTGCACAAGAGCTACATCTTGGAAAGAGCACTGTATGTGGTGCGATCAGAAGATGATCATGGGCCGATTCAAAACAGGTGAGGTTTCTGCCATGTCATGTGAAGCGGGCCTGTCCCTGCACACAAGAGCTACATCTTGGAAAGAGCACTGCATGTGGTGCGATCAGAAGAGGATCACGGGCCGATTCAAAACAGGTGAGGTTTCTATACCAAGCAAGCTATCAACAGTTGCACCATTGGGCCTGTGCTGTGCACATCGATAGTGTCTTGGAGAGAGCACTGCATGTGGTGCAATCAGAGAATGACCATCGGCCCATCCGATAAGGTTAGACTTTTTTCACATGAAGCAAGCTTTTGCTGTGAACATAGAATATGTTTTTTTTTTTTGTGAAGGGTACTGTTTCTGGTGCGATCAGCAGTTGACCCCAAGTCAGAATACTTCAGGTGAAAGATGAAAAATATGACGGAACTTTTTAGCCTGAGGAATGGCCCTGCCCATTGTGCATTTTTCCACATTTGTTTCCCTAGATTTAGGCACCTGGTTATAACCCGTCAACTTTTGTATTTTGTGCCTTTTCTGTCGCAGTTTCCGGGCCCGGGTGCAAGATGCAGGAGTGATGGAGGTGGAATGCAACAATATAGATGATATTCTGAGAAGAATTTTGGAGGTCATTAGATCTCACAAAAGTTGACTTCCTCTCAATATATGATGGCTTCCCTTCAAAGATCGCTAGGTGTACTAAAAGGTAGTGGCATTGCATTCATTAGTGTTGTGTTCTTGCTCGCATTGAGCTTGAATTTCCGTTTGAATACCTGATTTGGTTTTAGCATAGATTGGCTTTTATAGATGCGGTAAGGTTTACATTTGTGGAACAAGCAGTCTATAACGAAGACCTAGTCAATCCCTCGAACCTTTCACTATCCTTGTCCACCGTTTTGAATGCCTTGCATGTCCCACGACACAAATGCTTGTCGTTGGAATCACTTAAGGAATTCCCAAGGACTTGTCAGGGTAATGATAAGTTCGTTGCTTCTATAACTTGGTTTCGAGTATGAGTATGACGAAGAAAATTCGTTGAGCCCGCGTCGTGATTCCTGGTTCCTCTCGCTGTCGCTCCCGTTTTCTTTCAGTCAAGCACCAGATCGAACCTCCTCTCGTCATTCGATTCCGAACCTGGCCGAACCGCATTTTTAACAGAGCAAGATCGCATTCAGGCTTATCGTCTAGTATCGTCCAGCGGAGTAAAGAGTCACAACGAAAATAGTCACGTCATTTGAACGCGTAGCTAGGTGTAGGCTCGCTGGTACAAGTTGTCCTTTCAAGGTCGGATATAGGCTGGCTCTGCTAGGCGAGTCGTTTCTCGTTTCTTGGTAACCAGCTAGCTGCAAGCATATTCTAGCCTCGCTGCGCTGTTGAACCGTCGAGATGTTGCACTGTTAAATGGTCAGGATGGAGCCGAGAAGCCTATGGGGTTGTGTTATCAGATCGGGAATCACCAGCTATTCTCGCCTTACCAAATTCTAAGTGTTAAAATCAAGTTCCCCGTTCAGGGTCAATTTCATAAGTCTCAGGGTCAATCCCTAGGTCTCCGGGTCAAATTTCCAGGTCTCAGTGCCTGAAGGTTTGGATTCCCATTCACCAGCTCAGGGTTGGTTCTGCAGGGGCGGGTACTCAGAGTCGAATTAGGGTCGGGTTTTCTAAAAGCAATTTCAAGGGCCGGGTTAGGCAAGCAGTATGGCGCCACTGCTACAACGGTTTCGTTACCTATTTGAGAAGGGCGTGGTGTTTCGAGGAATGCTCATTATGGTGAGAGTGGTGGATGGCATGTACTCACTCTCACGTGCTTACACAGACTTACACGGGCTAACACAGTGACTTACACAGGTAACGTAAATCATTCGCAAGAATTTACAAATTCAAAAAGCATTTGTAAGAACTCACAAATGCATAAAACATCTGCTCATGATGCGTGAGTCGCTATCATTCTTACAACCCCTCCTCTCATCTCTCCATGCATCGACCTCACCCCTCTCTCGCCCTCTCCCCCCCTCCCTCCCTCCCTCCCTCACCACCTGCCAGAACCACTTGAATAAGAACCCAGGAGCACGACCTCCCTACTTGGAGCTCACTCACACCCTCCCCCCCTCCCTCCCTCCCTCCCTCCCTCCCTCTCTCCCTCCCTCCCTCCCTCCCTCCCTCCCTCCCTCCCTCCCTCCCTCCCTCCCTCCCTCCCTCCCTCCCTCCCTCCCTCCCTCCCTCCCTTCCTCCCTTCCTTCCTCCCTCCCTCTCTCCCTCCCTCCCTCCCTCCCTCCCTCCCCGCTTCCCCCCCTCCCTCCCTTCCTCCTCCCTCACCTCCTGTCAGAGCCACTTAGATAAGCACCCAGGAACACGACCTCCCTACTTGGAGATCGCAAAAAGGGTTGCCAAGTTGCTCGTGACCCGTGGGAATTACCTCAGCTTGCTCAAGCCGACTGCGACTGGAGACGAATCCATGAAGCCGATTCTAAAGGGGACAGAGGGCGAATGGGTGCTCAGCCGATATCTGATACCCCCTGGCTTGCAGTAAGTATGGGCTTTGTCAGAGATGTTGGTGTTTTGTTTTAATAAAATTGATTTTACTTTTGAGAATTCTCAAAAGTAAAATCAACTTAGTCAGAGATGTTGGTGTTTTGTTTTAGTAGAATTTCGCCAACATATATGTCGTGCCTACCTCCTGGCCTGCAGTGAGTACGGCAGTAGAGGCTGGATGGTCGGGCATAGGAGTTGTTTGTCAACAGTGAGGTTTGAGTTGACTTAGAATTTGATTTTGCTACCCCCTGGCTTGCAGTGAGTACGGCAGGAGAGGCTGGATGGTAGGGCATAGAAATCCCATTGTACCTGTCTTGTTGAGCACGGCATTTACGCTAACCAAGTGTTGGGTCCATATTACCACATGCAATATCGAACCAAAGGGTCTGAAGTAGGATGTGAGTGCTGTCACGATCGGGATTTCCTCATACAGCAAGACAGCAAGTGCGCTAAAAAGTACGTTGGAGTATCTGCTTTACAGGCAAAGCAAAGCCTTCTTTTTTTAGGCGCCTCAAAAACGACCTAAAAAACGACCTTTTGAGGCGCCTCAAAAAGGGATTTCCTCCTACAGCAAGACAGCAAGTGCACTAAAAAGTACGTTGGAGTGTCTGCTTTGCAGGCAAAGCCTTCTTTCTTCACATATATTCCTAATAAACAAGTGGCTAATCCTTCTTTTTTAAAAACTCATGGTTAGGCCCGAACCCGCCCTAACCGCTCGAAGAGCGTTCACTCCTTCAACGATTTTTGAGGCGCCTCAAAGAGCATTCACTCCTTCAGCGAAGCCAGCCAGGCAGTGCCGTAGATTGCTGATGATGTTTGACGCTAGGCAGTCCTATCAATCCTGTTTGTTGCTTTTGCTTGCTTATGGCGCCTTTGCTTTTTCTTTCTCTTTGAAATTCATTCGCGTTCATGTTCCAGTGATTGCACTTTTAGTTGCAGTAAGGTGTCTTCCATGGTGTTTCGTTTTGAGGCGCCTCAAAACTAGCAAGGTGGATTCCGTGGTGTTTCTACCTGGCTTGCTGTAATTGCTCGTGTTTTGAGTCGACTCAAAACACGACTCATCACACCTGGCTTGCTGTAACTGCTCATGTTTTGAGTCGACTCAAAACACGACTAATTACACCTGGCTTGCTGTAATTGCTCATGTTTTGAGTCGACTCAAAACACGACTCATTACACCTGGCTTGCTGTAATTGCTCATGTTTTGAGTCGACTCAAAACACGACTCATTACACCTGGCTTGCTGTAATTGCTCCTTCGATGCTTTCCTTCCTTCCTCCGTTTTCTCAATAAATGCCTGCTCCCAACCATCTCTCTCATATCTGTCTCTGCCTTTGCCTCGGCCTGTGCAGTGACATCACTGTTGGTGACGTTGTGATGATGCTATACGATCCTCCTGCACCAGTTGCCTCTAATACCAGTTCAGCCAATCCTGAGGTGTCTGCTGATGCAACGGCCAAAGGGGCGACAGCTAATGGGGCAACAGCCAATGGGGCGACTGCTAATGGGGCAACAGCCAATGGGGCAACAGCCGATGGGGCACCAGCCGCTCAAATATCAAGAGCAGGGGATGCTTCTCGGTTACTCACTGCTGCTTCTTTCAAAAGAAACAATCCAAAGAAGGCAATGAAAAGGAAAATAAAGGCCCTGTCAGAAGCCTCCGCCAATGCTGCCGCCAGTGGAGCCGATGCCTCTTCTCCTTTATCTGCTTCCCCATCCTCTTCCTCATCCTCTTCCCCATCCTCTTCCTCATCCTCTTCCCCATCGTCTTCCTCATCCTCTTCCCCATCCTCTTCCTCTTCCTCTTCCTCATCCGCTTTCTCATCCTCCTCTACTGAGGCCGAGCCTTTTCATTTTGCTTTTCGGCGAGTGGCAGCCGTTGAGGGAGACGAGATCGTGTCATCTCAGCCGGCCGATGAGCCGTTTCGGATAGAGAAGGACCATTTCTGGTTGCTTGCAGATAATCCGGATGTTCCTGTAAAGGTGATGATTTGAAATGTTTCCACTAGGTGCTCTATAGTGAGGCATGCAGTGAGGCATGCAGTGATGCATGCATTGAGGCATGCAGTGAGGCATGCAGTGGGGCATGCAGAGGCATGTACAGAGGCATGCAGTGAAGCATGCAATGTGGCAGATAGGCAGGCAGGCACGTATGCATGAGCCCATGTGCATACGGTGCACATAGCCATTCACACTTGCCACACCACTAGTCCCATAAAGTTTACCTTTACACGCCACCCTCTCCTCTCATACTCCTATCCTCCACGTGTTCTCAATGCTTCCATGTGTAATCATCCCATGATGATTCGAACAATTGCCCCATTGGTCCCATTCAGCTCAGCATGCCAAGATGTAGAAAGGATATTTTTGAGACGTCTCAAAAATTGCCCCATTGGTCCCGTTGAACTCAGCATGCCAAGATATTATAAGTCGACTGTGCCGAATATCATGGCTCCATTTCTTTCTCCCTCCACCTCCTCCCAAGGCACCTTCCGGGAAGCTTTTGACAATTGCCCCATTGGTCCCATGCAGTTCATTACCAGAATAATATGAGTCGGCTATGCCGAATCCAATTGTTTGTTTGTTTGTTTTTTTTTTTTTTTTTTTTTTGAATTCTTGAAAATCGAAATTCTCCCTCCACCCCCTCTGATCGGACCTTCCAGGAAGCTATTGACAGCCGCACCATCGGCCCTGTTCACAGGACCTGCATCGCGGCGAGGGCACTGTATGTGGTGCGGACAGCAAATGATCACGGGCCGATCCAGAACAGGTGGGGTTTCTCTCGTGTGAAGAGATGGTTTCTTGTGAACACACACACACACACACACACACACACACACACACACACACACACACACAGCATGCATTGCATCGAGGGCATTGTATGTGGTGCGGACAGCAGATGATCACAGGCCCATTCAGAACAGGTGGGGTTTCTTAGCATGCGAGGTATACTTGTGTTGTGGACAGGTGCTTAACCGGACCATGTTTGACCGGGCCGTGTAAGTAGCTGTCATAGAAGGTGATGCTTTTGTTGGTGGTCGATCGATCATGGTCTGGTTCAGAGAAGGGGGGGGTGGGTGGAGGGGGGGAGCTTCTATCTTGAAGCTGGTTGGAACAATGAAGACCGAAATGCATATTATTGGAATGCGCTGTGTGGTGCTTCTATGGGTGTATCATGAGCCAATATTTCACAGGTGAAGGATGAAATACGTGGTGGAAACTTAGAGGTGGAAGATTCACAATGCTCCTGCGTTTCTTCCCTTCTTTTATTTTATGATGTGTTCGGACTAAGTTGTTAAAGCCCCGTACTTCTATGTTTCCGAATTCCAAATCATTTCCTATGCCTGTTGCAGTTATGTGGCCAGTATGCAGGATGAGGCAATCATGGCCATGGAATGCAATTTCAAGGATATTATACGAAGAATAATTATCGAAGTCATCAGGTCTTTCAGAATCTGACAGTCTTGTTAGGGCCTCCATTTGACAAAACCCCGTCAGCATCAAAAACGTTGTCGCTTTGCAGTGATAGTACATTTACCGTATCGCCCCGGATATAACCGCAGGCCTATGTTAAGCGCATGCGCTTTTATCTGGAGCAATGCGCTTATGGCCGATCCTCAATTATAAGCGCACCCTCTGAAAATTCGTTACTTATTATAAGCGCACCCCTGTTGTATAACAAGGTTTTTCCCGTTGGATTTTTCCACTAAATACAAACTAGCTAACAATTTCAACTAAAACTTCAAATACATTGGACTTCATTTCTAGCCTACACACCATTTTCATGATCACTCAAGCCTAAGGCCTACTCCTCGTCCGATTCAGGCTCCGTGGAGTTGTTGCCAAAGAAGCCGTCTGCTTGGACGTCGTCATCTACCTCTACCTCGTGGGACAGCTGAGCTCTCCGGTGCGCCAGCACCAGTCCGTCTTCACTTCCGTCAAGGGCATTGCTGATGCCGCAGGTGAGGAACGCCTTCTTAATCAGTTCGGCGGGCACGGCTTTCCACGCCCGTGAAATCCACTTGAGCACCACCTCCGGAGGTGGTTTCTTGATGTTCCCTGCACCACAAACACGGGGGTGGGAAACGTGAGACCACACGCAGGCAGACAAGCTCATAAAAAGGCCACGGGAGAACACTTTGCGTACCTGCGGGGGTCAGGATGTTCATGCCGTCCTGCTCGAACCAGGTCTGGTACTGCTGCCGAACACTCGCCTTGAAGCTTTTGTTGACCGACACATCGAGCGGCTGCAGGTCTGCCGTGCATCCCGCCGGGATGACCGTCGGTACGATGTTGAGCTCCGCGAATTTCGCCTTGACTTCGGGAGTCAGGTGACCACGGTCGGACTCGAGCACCAGCATGGCGCTACGGCTCTGAACTCCGAACTTCGGTTTCAGGAACGGCACCACGCCTTTCGCGAGCCACTCGATGACGCCCGAGGCCTCCATCCACCCGTTAGCTTGGCAGCCGACCACGACATCTGCATACAAGCAAGCGGTGGTTAGAATGTAAAATAGATTTACCCCTCGGGAACACGCGCATCGACTTCAGCTTCTTACCAGGCGGGAAGTCTCCCTTTGGGAGGGTCTTGCGCTTGAAAAACACCCACGGCTTCAACTTCTCGCCCGTCGCTGTGCACGCCAGCATCACAGTGACTCGCTCCTTCTGGTATCCACCACTGCGGATAGGCACCGACTTCACGCCCGTCTGCTCCACCGTGGTAGTCGCCGGCATCTCCAGCCACAAAGGCGTCTGGTCGGCATTGATAATGTAACGGTTGTCGATGTCGTACTCGTGGCGTGCGTCGCGGACATACTGCCAGAACTCCTTGCACTGCTCTGCCACGTCTGCGTAAGGGGAGGGAGGGACGGGTAAAAAGGCGGATGAGCACCGCGGCAAATAAACATGCATGGGCAAGAAAGTACAAAGATTCAAGCAAGATAATCAAGATAGGATGACAGGAGCACGGACGGGCACTTACGCTGCAGTGTCTTTTGTGCCACCTTTGTTTTCATGCGCACGGTGAGATTCCACCGCTTGCGGAACCGCTCCGTCCAGCGCTGACTCGCCTTCCACTTGACGTCCGGGAACAGGACCTTCATCACCTCTTTAGACCACTCTTGCAGCCGGCCGACAGATACTGCCACACCGCGGCGTCGCCAGTCCAGGAGTTGGGCGTACACCTTCATCTCCATGGGTCTGTACCAGGACGACCTTCCGCGCCCGTGAAGTCGACACCGAGCGCCGTGTGCAGCCTTGAGCTCCTCCGCTTGGGCTTTCCACTCCGTGAGGCACTTGCGGTGTATGCCGGACTCCCTCGCGACCTCGCTTATCGATGCCGCAAGCTCCAGCCGTACGAGCCACTTCAGTTTCTCCTGGGCGGTGTAGTGCTGCCGTTTGTGTTGAGTCATCTTGTGCCTGGGAGAGGGGGGGCGGGCATCACGGTTCTCAGAAGAGGGGTGGGGTCGTTTCTTGTTAACAGGCGGATACGTTGGTATTGGCATCTTCGCGCGTGGTGCGTCGCGCCACCAAGATTCGACGCCGTTGTCGTCGGCGGCCTCACGATCGGGGAAGACGTCCTCCTCGGCGCCCTCTTCAAGATCGATTCCACCGTCGCCTCCACAGCCGCCTTCCGCGTTGCCGTCGCCGGTAGGTTGTTTATCGGCGGCCACGTCATCGTCGGCGCCCACGGCCGACTCGTCCCACGTGCAATCCTCAGGATTTCCCCACCGCGGGGCAGTCGGCGGAGCAGCGACAACCACATCGGGAGCCTTGGGTGTGTCCGGTTCAGACAGCCACTCGTCGAAGGTGGCTGGCAAGTAAAGCTAGAGCACGGGCCGCTGGTGGGAATTCGGGTCAGGAACAGGAGGGCTCGGAGGATTCGGAGGAGCGGGGGGAGTAGGAGGAGCAGGAGGTACAGGAGGAGCAGGCGGAGCAGGCGGAGCAGGCGGTGCAGGTGGTGCAGGTGGCACAGGAGGCTCACGGGTAAACCACCCGTCCGCGGTAAGTCGCCATGGCCGTGGTGGTTTCTTCTTGTAAAGAAAGTGCATCCCACTGAATTCCGCCATGGCTTCGCCAGCCAGGCGGGCTAGAGTAGAAACTGAATGAAAAAAATGAAGACGAGGGTGCACAAATGGGCAACGACGGGGACCCCTGCAACCTAGCGGCGCGGGGTCCTCGTCAATGACAGGCAGGGTTCCCCCGTCTACCCCCGTAGAGGAACCTGCGTGGCAGCATATCCGCTGCGCTGGCAGGGAAACTTCCCCAACCTTCGAGAGGGTTCGAAAGAAATGCACTTGCGTGGCAGCGCATGCGGCTGTGATTGGGCCGCACAGCAACATCCCCGTCAGTGCTGTCACGTTCGATGCTTCTAGACAGCATTGTGCGGTGGGAAACCGCACCGCGGCTGTTTTTGCCTGAAAACCATGCACGTTCCCACGTGCTGCATGGTCCGGTGGATTCGCCTTATTGCGGGCTTCAGTTTAGTATGTTTAAAAGTGAATTTCATTTTTTTTTTTCCGTATTATACGCGCATGCGCTTATACAGACACCTCAATTAGAAGCGCACCCCCCCAAAAAACACCGTTTTATTATAAGCGCACCTGCGCTTTTATCCGGGGTAATACGGTACGGTAGTATAGTCCAACGTGCTCGTGTTGTGTTCAGAAACTCGTAGTACTTTCTCTGGACAAGCAATTGATTTGTAATGTTTACGCCTTGTGCACACTGCGCCGCATTCCATGTTATGAAATAGCAAATGCCCCACGCTCTCAGGACGTGTAAACTCCTGCAAAATCTGGCGATCGATCCTGCGCAGGTTCGATTTTTGACTTGGTTGGAAGAGGTTCTCAAACATTAGAGCATGTTCCTACAGACCTGTTATCAGGGTTTCTGATATCAGACTCGGAGGTCGTCGAGGTTTTCGTTATTAAACGCATTTTTGAAGACTGTATCGCGCAACTAGAATTCGCGCGGGAAATGTTCTGGAACTTGGCACATCGGCGAATCATCTCGAGTGATCACGCTGCAAATCTTTCTGACGCGATATCGATATCACGTACAAACAGATCTCTGTTTTGTCGGATGTGGTTTCCTTTTTCATCGTGTGCGGCAGTCGCCAGAAATTTGTTCACAAATGACGGAACGAGTCAATGAGTAATGTTCACACGTTTCGTTTCAAGCCTAAATCCACAGAAACTATTTCAGGGCAGCACAAAAAAACTGTCATCCAAGCGTTTTCGCTCGCACTCCTCAGGCCACGCGAAAATCACACAATAAAAAGTCGTATTAAGCCGAGATGTAAGTGGTTTGTGCGAGTCTGACTAGAGGTTGGCCTGATAACAGGCCGTAGGAACACGCTCTTATGGATGCAATTGCCGGATTTCAGTGCGGTGGACGATCAATATTGCTCGATCGATCGCAGTTTTCTGCAGGAGTTGACGCGTCCTCAGTCCACTACAGCCAGCCGCGCCCTACAAGCATGCTCAACCAAACTGGTTTGTTTGCAGTTAAGGGGCGTAATGTATAACAGGGTGGAATCAAGTTGACTCACACATGTAACGAACTCCTGGGGAGTGTAATAACGAGGATGTTTTCCAACCTTCCGCAATCCGTTCTCGCTGCTTTGCATATCCAAGGTGCATAGTAGTCTCATGAAAACTGTGCCGCTAGATACCTCAGGACGCGTCTACTCCTGCAAATTTCGGCGATCGATCTTGCGCAGGACTGAATTTTACCTGGGTTAGAGGAGGTTCTATTTAAAACTGCAAGCAAATGCAGGATTTCAGTGCGGTGGCCGATCGATTTTGCAGGACCGATCGCCAATTTTAGCATGAGTTGACGCGTCCTCATATGGGTTCCAATGATTTTGGGTCCGTTATGTAACTGGATACTAGCACACCAAAGACTCAAGGCTTGTTTCGCGCCTGTTCAGTCCGCGTCGTGTCATTCCTCGTTCGTCTCGCTGTCTCTGTCGTCTCGGTTAGTGAACCCCAGACCGGACCTGCTCACGTCATCAGATTCCGATCGAACCGAGACGAACCGAACTTCATCCGATTACAGATCGCATTCTGGCTTATAGCGAGACATGCGAACATCGTTCGTTGCCTATGATTTTCGACGGGGTGAAGGGTTACGTCGAAACTCCTCACGTTGTCTCAGCGCGTAGCCACGTGTAGGCTTATTGCGAGTGGAGATTTTGTCGATCATTGCGATGATCTCGGAATTAGGCTTTTCTTTGGAAATGGGGTGTCTTGCTGACGTGATCTAGGTAGGAAAGTGAGAACGAGAGCACGCGCTGCTGCTGGTCAAGGCAGCCAGTTCGACTAGTAGCTGCGGTTGCATGATAGGCTAGCAATAGTATCTACGATTAATATGAGTTTGAGTTTTGAGACGGCTCAAAGTGCAGCATACGCAAGAAATATTTATGCAATCTGCTCCACTGCCGCGGTCCCGAAAGG